CCCAGCTTCCATGTGCCTTGATGTAAATGATTCCCTGGTGTGACCTGCTGTGGGCTATTGCCATTAAGAATCCAGAACCCCCTTGTCTGACCCTCACACAGAGTTAGGAGTGCCTTAGAGTTTATGTCTCTTTGGGGCAACCATAACCAATAACTGACGGACACTCGCAGTTCAAAAGCCTTTGGTTTGAGATGAGACAAACTCTGGGGGTATAATTGATACTCTAGAGCTCCCTATGCGATCAGGCTAAGACTGGGACTTTACCTGATATCACACCCTTGCTCCACTTCCTCCCATTTTCTCTCGTTTCTGTCACTCCTTTACTAGTTTATTCTGGGACTCCTTCCTCAGTACATCATTTGCAGTGAAACCTTGGCTCAGGGTCTGTTTCTGGAATCACCTGAACTCAGACATGCCTCCTTCTGGGAGAACGTGGACTAAAATTTGCATCTTTCTGAAGGTGGGCAGTCTCTACCTGTGAGCTAAAGTATACAGTCCATCTGTCACCATATTTCAACCTTCTGAAAGGATACAGCTCTTGGCTAGAGACTTTTCTAGATATACAAGGCGGGCCACAGGAACTGTTGTTGATGGAAGGATGCTCTGATAGGTCCCTGGTCCCCCTCAGTGCAATCTGGTTTGAGAATCTCAAGCCACCAATTAAGCCATTCGCATAGGGACTAGAGGGAGGGAGAGAGTCAAGCAGCAGGGTTTTCCAAAGCCTGTGGAGAAGTCCTGAGGGTTTTTGCCTTGGATGGACAGCAGTAGATACTGAAAGTAAAATTACAAACTCTCCTTGACCTTACAGAAGTCACCTTAGAGTGAATGAAATGAGTTGGGGGCACAGCATAGCTCTTACATTCTTGCAAGAAGAGTTCCTTGGGATAAGTAATGAAAAAAAAAAGATCATAAATGCCCATCTTCTCATTGGGAGAAACAGAGACGGTGTCACAAGAGGATAAAATGTATAAGTAAGTGCTATGTGTTGTGCGGTGAGTGTCTTACGTTATTCTTCTCTCATGTTATTAGAATTTTCCTACTAAAAAAAATTCCCTTCTCTTTAAAAATGATCCTGAATAGTTTATTGAAACCACTGTTTTTGAGCTGGAGATATGACCGCAAAAGGGAGGTCATTCGCATATGGATATGATTTTATCATTACCAGCAAGCTGAAAAGAACATGCTCTTAGATTAATGTATTCTCAAGGGAATGAGAATGAAGCTACTACAAGAAATAAAAATAATAGTTTCTTGTTTCTTTCCCCCATCCTTTCCTAAAAAGTGTCAGGAAAGGAAAGTTATACAACTTGCAAGTGCTGTTTCTTCTCTCCCCGTCTTCAGTCAGAGTTCTGCGGTCTTTGAGAAAGGCTGGATCCACTGGCAAACAGATTTTTCTAACAACATGATTTCAGTTTTTCTGGCTGCATTGCAGGTTTGCTTTTGAATGGACAGGCTGCGGATGCATGGGCCTGGAGGAATTGCTGGGTATATTTTGGCACAATAATCACAATCATATGTGAACCATATGTTGACTGCACAGTTTAAACCAAAAAAATATATATCCTTTGCTATTCTTTGTAATTTCATGTGGAGTTGGTTGGGATAGAGCTAGGCAGTTTAGGACGCCAAGTTTAAAAAAAATGCTTGGAAGCTCCTTGATACATTTTATTGTTTGTAGGAAGAGAAGAAAAATAGAAAAAAAAAAAAAAAAATATATATATATATATAGAAAGGATACTGAGGTATGAATGAAAAGTTTGAGTTTCTACTTTTGCTGCAGTTTGACCTTCATGAGTCATTTGACCTCTCAGTCTCAGCCTCCTCTCCTGCGATCTGGCTGTTGGGTTGGTTCAATTGCCAAGTGGATCTTTAGTAATCAGATTGGTGGGGAGAAAGAGCTGATGAGGATATACAGGGTGACCCCCACAGAGATACTATGGCTCTCTCTAATAGACGTTGGCAGCATTTGAGTGTTCAGAACCCAGTCAGAACCTATCTTCTTGGTGACCACAACTGTGGAATCTTACATCAGTCATGGACAGTAAATGAGTCCAGCCATGTGGCTCCTCTTGATCTATCTCATCACGGGAGGACCAGAGACAATAGGAAGTGATTCAAGGAGGGGGATTCAGCCCTGGGGAAGCTTGCAAGGCTTCGGGGGTCTCAATTTAGAGGGGAAATTGATAGAAGGATTTAAGGTAGAATGAGAAGACTATCTGAGAAACCAAGACAAAGGCCTTATTATGTACACATGATCAATCCAAGTGGTGATTAGGAATAGGCCGGCCCTCAGAAGAAAGTTGGAACTCCCACCTGTTTCCAAACCCTGGCCCTGGGGATGAGGCTGTTGGCTCCTTCTAATCTGCTCAAGAGGATATGAGGGCTGAATCGGTACATGCTCCCAAATCCAATGCAGTGTTCTTAGGTGCTATTGATAGCTTCAGCAGGAGAGCCCAGGAAGTTGTCTGCTTCATGAAGTTGCTCTTTTGCTTTTGCCCTTTCCCTCACAGATCAGAGTCTCACAAGAAATGGACCCTCAACTGGTTGAACCACTATTAGCATTCAAGCCAAATTCAAAAATTTACCTGAATATATGGTTACATATAAAGCAGTGCAGGTCCTGAAAACTCTGTTGCAAACACTCCTCCACTTCTGCCCTGCAACCTCTAGGTTTGGGTTAGGTCCTTGTGCTATTTTTCATTGACTGCTTTGAGCTTAGCTGTCCTGATAAACACTGGAATCGTACAATTGAGAAGGACCCCAGAGTTGAGGAGGAAATGATTATTGAAATCATAATTTAAAGATTTATTGACTTCAACAGGCATTGTGAACATACATAGATGATACACACCCACACACGCTTGGGGATGTTAAAATATTCTCAGATGTTACACACTTATTTAGAAGTCTAAACACCCAGGTTAGCCACATTCATCTGAATGTTATGTTCACTCATTTGGAGTTAGATGCCCAGGTAATACAGATCCTCACTTGGAAATCGTGCACCTTCAGATGTGGTGTGCATTTTTTGAGAGACTGGCCAAATCCACTCACATGTCCCTCCCATGCACTCTGAATTGTCAGGTTCTTACTCAGATGTGTACACACTACAACAGGCATGGTCATTGAGCTGCTGCTTACCTGCACTCATCTAAGTGTGGCATATACTCATATGCCCATCCCTTCCTTTTTGCATGTCTGAAAATTCCCATGCTCAAGAAAATTCAGGGGAAAACTTGTCATATTGAATGTGTCACATTTTCTTAGGGCAGTTCTCCATAGCCTTTTTTCCTTAACGAAATAGTCCTGTGTCTCTGTCATTTCCCAAGCGTACTCCTTAATCTAAGTGTCTTTAGATGGATAGTCTGATTGAAGGATGGTAGCCTGCAATGTGCTTCATTTTTATAAACCACGTGCTGGTTCACTATGCCCTATTTAAATGATTGGTTTGGGCCCCCCCTCCTGCAACCACCTCATTAATTCACAGAAGTCTCCCGTGGGCACTCTTTGGGCAATTGTCCTGTGGGCACTCTTTGGGCAATTGATCTTTTGTTTTAGATCATGAGTCCCAAAGATCTGTGCAATAAAGCTCTTCTAAAAGAAAAACATTTATTCAAGAGAAATATAAACTGTGGGGCATTCAAAGAAATTGAACAATGTTATCCAACTTACAAACTTTAAAATAACTGTACAAAGAGAGTCTAACATTGAATATCACCTGATATTCAATGAAGGATCAGTCATCTCTATTCACACACTAGCATCTTCTTACATCCTACTAATTTGAAGGGAACAATATTAGATTACTAGGCAGGAACCCAGGGCAATTGCTGTTTATCTGATTAGGGTTTCTGCATCCAGCCAGATTTGGTTTCATGCTTGCTTTCAGTTTTAATTCAATCCAGTGTAATTCATTTGAACAAGCATTCATTGATCACTTGTTGGGTGGCAGGCATCCGGCTGGGCAGTGTGGGGTGGGGGTGGAGAATGATGCACAGATAAGTAAACCACAGTGCCTACTTTGTAAACGGTCACAATCCAGCCAGCGAAAGAGTAGTCCCATCTCATGCTATTGGAAAACAAAGCAGATGGAGATTAGGTGAGTTCTAGGGGAACTACAGAGGGAGGATTCATCCAGACTGGACATATCTGGACAGGCTTTCTAGGGAAGTGAAAGGTGTGCTCAGCCTTTGGAGGAAAGCAGAAGTGGCCAGGATGCAGGGCACTGCAGTTAGAGGAAGCATCAGTCAGTAATGGCACGAGGTGAGACCCAAAAGATGTCTGTGCAATAGCATGGGGTCTGGAGTGGCTGGAAGATGGGAACACCATGAGAAGACCTTCTAAATAGAAGACAGAAGACAGGCACAGAGGGCTTCAAATGCCAAGATGAAGAGTTTAGATTGTATCATTTGGACAATGGAAGGCCTATGAAAGTGTTTGAAGAGGGAAAGAACTACATGACTAGGATGCATATGATTAGGATAACTAATTTGTGAATCACTTGCATTAGAGGCAAAGAGACTAGTTGAATCTGGATAGGTGGGAAAGAACCCAACCTAGGCATTGAGAAAAGACAGGTGGAACAGATGCAAACCTGCAGAAGTCAAATCAACAGACTTGATTAGAGATGAGGAGTGAGAACTAAGGAGTTAAGAACTGAGGATGAGCACTCATGAGGACGATTCAAGTTTTGGCCACTTGTCTGATGGTGCTACCATTTACTAAGAAAATAAATGTAGAAGGAGGAGCAGACAGGTTTGTAGGGGTTGGGGCTGAGTGGAGTTTGGATGTGTCTAGTGTGAGCTGGCTTTGAGACAGCTAAGTGAAGATAAAGTTCTGTAATATGGTAGGTTTGGAAATCTGAAGCTCAGGACTAAAGTTTTGTGGTTGACAGAAACAGTGTCTCCATATAGGAGAAGTTGGGTTGACATCATGAGAACTAACAAGCTCATTCTTCCAGAGAGTTGCTGATCCATCTACCTCTCCTCTTTCCTGTCCAGTGTTTATCAGCTGGTTGTCAAGGAGGAGAGACTTCAGAAGTCACGGAGGGCAGCTGACATTATTGAGTGCTTTTCGGTGCCTGTGAGCTATCGGAATGCCTCCAGCCTCGATTCTCTACACTACTTTGCTGCTGAGTTAAAGCCTGCCAACCTGCCTGTCACCCAACCATTTACAGTGGGTGACAATAAGACATACAATGGCTACTGGAATCCTCCTCTCTCTCCCCTGAAAAGCTACAGCATCTACTTCCAGGCACTCAGCAAAGCCAATGGAGTAAGTATGGCCACATGGAGGCCATTCCTTGCCTTGTTTGCATTTTCTCATTCTCAAATGATAAGTCAGCAGGGCTCTAGAGCAGAGGTTGAAAACCTAAGGTCCAGGGGCCAGATCCTACCTCATGCCTTGAAATTAAAAAAAAAAAATACAGCTATGGCTGTTTATTTATGTACTGTCTATGGCTCTTTTGATGCTTAACAGTAAAGTTGAACAATTGTAACTGAGACTATATTCCCCACAAAGCCTAAGATATTTATTATATGGCTTCTTATGGAAAACCTTTGTATACTCTTGTATTAGAGTATAGAGATGATGCTTTACTTGAGGAAATTACATGACCTCTCTGAGCTTAATGTCTTCATATGTAATAATAATATTATTACAGTTTGTTATCTAGGAATGCACCAAGTGTGGTTTAGTTGATCAGTGATTAATACCCACTTTGTCATTGCCATTGGTCACATTAGAAAATAATTTTTCTCCAAAGACAAGATAACCATTGTATCAAATATTTCTTTGGTCAAGGATTGGTGCCAGTCATAATACCAGAAAACCATAGGGCTGGAAAGGATGTCAAAGGTCATTCAACAACCCCAAACACACACAAAACAATGGTTCTATCAATATTACAACACCAATTAACTGGCATTAGTGCTTATTCTGGAATACCTCCAATGACAGAGAACTCACTTACCTCTGAGGTAGCTTTACTGTTTTCTAGAATAGGGAGTGGGCTGTGTCTCTTAGGAGGCTTTCCAGTGTACTCGCTGAAATATTTTCTGTTGAAGTTTGTACTCATTGTTCTTGATTCAGACTCTTAGGATCCTACAGTACCAATGCAACCACGTTCTTGGTTTATAGTCCTTCAGTTACATAAGATCCTTTCTAACGCCCTTTTCTCCTTTATACAAACATGCTCTTACGATCCTCTTTTCTGCAAGCTAAATATCTTTAGTCTCTTATACTATGTGAGTTTGTATTTTCTATCCAAGTGGTCGTATTTCTTTTAACCAACATCTAACAAACACTGACAAATGCTAAGCCCTATGTTAAGGTTATGTAGTATGAGCCCTCCAAGGGCTTATAGACATGTAAGGGAATCTGTCATGTGCCATGTTATGCAGTGTATGACATGGAGAACTGAGAAGCTTGCTGGAGAAGGGAAGCAAGAGACAAGCAAAATTCAGTGAAGTCTGTGGGGAACAGCCTGCAGGCTCTGGGTGGCCAGGATAGAGCATTTAGTCTGTCAATGACAGTCATTGCTTGGTGAGAAACCTTGATTGAGGAACTAATTAACATTTAGAATGTCCACATACCCATTTAAATTCCACTGTGGTATTTCAGTTCTGCATTTATTACCGGTTCAAGCAACACTCCTCACAGAGAGCATAAGACTACAAAGAGAAGCTGCCAGACTGCCTTCCACCTGTCCATCTGGTCTTCCTGCTGCATGAAGCACTAGGATATATTGAGCAGGAAGACATAAAAATTGGCAGAAGTGTCTGGGGCTCATCTTGTTCTTGGTTCTCGACATCCCACGCTGGCCAGTTTGTCGGTGCAGCACAGCTGTAAGAAGGTGTGGCTTTCCCTGCTCTTGGTACATGTCAAAAGGTGTGGTTGAGTTTTCGTGCTAGGAAGAGAAAGAAGTAGCTTCACTTTATTCTTCCCACTAATATACTCATAAAATCTAGAAATAGAACATATCTATGGAACCCAGGACACTAGCAAATGCACATCAAAAGCAATTTCCTCACCATAGAAGTGGTTGGTCCTGAGCCAACCACAGAGGTTTTGTTCCAGGAAAGGGGTCCCTGTTCAGACCCCAAGAGAGGGTTCTTAGATCTCATGCAAGAAAGAATTCAGGGTGAGTCCATAGAATAAGGTGAAAGCTAGTTTATTAAGACAGTAAAGGAACAAAAGAATACTTCATAGAGCAGCCCTGAGGGCTGTTGGTTGCCCATTTTTATGGTTATTTCTTGATATGCTAAACAAGGGGTGCATTATTTATGCCTCCCCCTTTTTAGACCATATAGGGTAACTTCCTGATGTTGCTACGGGATTTGTAAATTGTCATGATGCTGGCGGGAGTGTAGCAGTGAGGTCTACCCGAGGTCACTCTTATGGCCATCTTAGTTTTGGTGGGCTTTAGCCAGCTTCTTTACTGCAAGCTGTTTTATCAGCAAGGTCTTTATGGCTTGTATCTTCCTATCTCATCCTGTGAGTTAGAATGCCTTAACTGCCTGGGAATGCAGCCCAGTAGGTCTCAGCCTCAATTTACCTAGCTCCTATTTAAGAGGGAGTTGCTCAGGTTCAGACGCTTCCAACAGTTTTGCTCCCCAAACATCACATCAGAGACCTCCTTCTTCAAGACACAGGGATTTCCCATAGAGAAAAAGAAAAGTTTCTGACTCTGAAACTGCCTCATCTCAAGCAGTTTCGACACTGCTTCAGAGTTGAACACGGCCATTTAGTTGCCTGTGCCTTCTACTCCCCACCATGCATATGTGCTCTTACTGGAACTAAGATTCCCAGTAACAAAACAGGCAGGAATGGAATTGGGTGAGTGCTTATGCCACATGTCTTGCAGGTACAGTTGACCTCACAGGAATAGAGAAAGGAAAAGCAAAGGGGGCTGGGCACTCAGGAGGCTGTATTTTTCTGGCAAAGGAAAAACTATACAGTTTCAAAAGACGGTCTTTAGTATTACATTTTACTGAAAAGAGCTGGTTGAAAGGGTCACAGAAGCAGAACAGCCATTCTCAGCCTAACAAATCTCTGCCTAGTCCCTCTCAGTTTTTTCCATATCATAAAGGGCAGCAGACAATGATGTTAAGCCTGGAGGATATTTTGAGGAGAAAGTGTTATAACTCACAAATTCCTTATCAGCCAAGTTGTTGTTCTTGTGCAAATACATCAGAAAGACATTGTTAGTATCCAGGGACTGCCACATTCCCTGCTTCTAATAAATCATTCACAGAGCAATTGACTGAGCAATGAATCAAATAAAGAAATCAAGAATTGAGAAATGTAGAAGAAGAAGACCCACAGTGAGCATAAAACTAATTAAACATAGCATTAATGCTCAATAATGGCTCTAACTACATTACCAAATGGGAGGTTAATGTAAAACATAACTACTTGAGGCAAAGAAGCATAATGTAAAAAATTAACGGTTCCAATCTGGATCTGTAATTCACTATTTTGTCAACAAAAACTAAGACAGAGTTGGAAGATGGATGAATGTAAATAAAAATCTGCTCATTTTCTCATGTTAGACAAGAGGGAATATATAACTACTGTGTTATTTCTGATGCTGCGAATATTTAAAAGTATCATTTTTTTTTTTTTTTTTTGAGACGGAGTTTCACTCTTGTTACCTAGGCTGGAGTGCAATGGCGCGATCTTGGCTCACCGCAACCTCCGCCTCCTGGGTTCAGGCAATTCTCCTGCCTCAGCCTCCTGGGTAGCTGGGATTACAGGCATGCGCCACCGTGCCCAGCTAATTTTTTGTATTTTTAGTAGAGACGGGGTTTCACCATGTTGACCAGGATCTCTTGACCTTGTGATCCACCCGCCTCGGCCTCCCAAAGTGCTGGGATTACAGGCGTAAGCCACCGTGCCCGGCCCAAGTTTCATTCTTTTAAACATAAAGTCGGCTCTCTGATCTATACTTAAAAATCTGAGAAAAAACAGTCAACAAAGAAAATTAGAGAAAATTAAGAAAACTGTAAGTAAACATGAAAATCAGAACCATAAAACACGCCTGAAGATGAAAGTAGTAGATTTGATGTGGGGGAAAAAAAAGTGTTGTTTTGCTCCATTGTGAAAGAAAAAAAAAAACAGCTTAGGTTAAACAAAATTAGAATTAGCCTTATCTGTATCACTAGAAGATTAAAGACAAACGATAAGATCAAGTTTATTAAACTAAAACAATTGAAAGGAAAGCAGCAACGGGCATTTGTGGCAGGATGGTTGTAAGCCAGGTGGAATAATTTACTATCAGCAAATTTCATTGCTCCCTACCCTACCTGCAAGCTTTAGTCAGGACAGGGTAGGAAGATTCTGGGGTCTGGACATCTTTGTTCTATGGATGTTAAGGATGGTTTTCTCAACCTAACAGAGTGGCTATGAATCCAGCCTTTACCACCACACTGCCTACATACAAAACCCTAGGAGCTTTGTGACTTTCAGTAAACTCTTGAAAGAATTAGATATAATAGATTAAGGAAACAGCTATCAAGCACGTGCAATATGTCAAAAAAGGCCTTCTTCTGAGTCCTGAGAATGCAGGAGTGAGTCAAGCAGAGATACCTGATCTCATTGTGTTTTCATTCTAAGTGGGGGAGAGAACATAAATAAGTGAAATCATGTATCAAATAATGAATCCTTAGGTTTCACATTAGGAATGTGGAAGTCAGTCATTAAATATTGACTATAATTAACATGAGGATCAAGACATTTTGTAGACTCTGGTGATCTGTGAATATGGAGTGTTTTAATCTCGCCCTGTGAACACCGTGGAGAGTTCAAGTGTGGCGTGCATCCTAGGACATGGTGCTCAGAGTTCTTGCAGGCATTTTCATGAAGCGTGAGTTGTTCACAGGCACTTGTGTTGGGAACTTTCTTCCAATTAGTAATCTCACATTTACTCTTTGATGCTTTGTTACAGATAACAAGAGTAGTCCTATTTGTCCTGCCACACTGTCCTTGACGCCTCATTCACAGCACCTGTCTCTGATGAATTAGACCAAGCTGTAACCATTCGTTTTGGATACAGCACTACTATAGATCTATAGTGTCATAGAGTAGGATGGCCTTTGAAGTGTCAGCTAGTCTGTACCAGACACCAAAGAAAAGAAATCTCTAATAAAGCATTCTTAGCAAGACATTATATTGCTTCAGCTTGATCACTGCAAATTGCTGGAGTGAAAGGGAGTTGATTCCTTTATGGAGCACGTAAAATTATTGAAACTTTTCCCTATAAAGCCAAATTCTGT